GTTTTTTAGTTAGGAAGTACCTGCTGTCAAACAGCCGTGGAAAGAATTAAGATCCTACTCTATATTTTTAAACAAATCTGCATTTTTAAATCCTGGTTTAAGTCTGGTTCTCACGGCAGAAGGTTAAACTGAGCAGCAGGTTGCTTCCAGGTTCAAAATTTCTAAGACAACAGTACACAAGAATAAGGTGAAGCAAGAGACACTGGGAATGACCAGAAACCAGTCAGGTAAAGAGCAGAAGTGACTTTCTAATGCCAGAGATGACCATTAATTTATTTGACAGTTTCTTGTGAATTAAAGGGGCACAGGGAGAAATGTTAACCAGGACGTTGGGGTACCACCAATGAGATGCCAAGGGATCTTATATGACCTCAGAGAGGCAGGATTTCAGTTTTACATCTCATCCAAAGGCTGGTGCCATTTTTACAGCACAACGTCCATGTGACTGCACTAGGATCTACACAGAGCACAGGATGGGCTGCCCCTGCTGGTCAGGGCACCACATTTTTCAGTAACATCCCAGCTTTTCAAGTTCATCTTCCATCCAAGTACTGGCCAGGCCTAAACCTGCTTAGCATCAGGTGGATTATCCAGTCTGAAGTGTAGGTGGTATAGCAGCTAATGAAACATCCTTGAACAATCAGCCTCAGATGATCAGTCTTACAGTCGTAAATTACAATAGCAGCATTTTACAAGAGGATCCTGTAGGGGGTGCTGCAGTATAACATTGCAATCTGCAAATTCATAACATAAATTTGAATAAAATAGTGATAAAGTCATAAACAAATAATTTGTGCATCTATTATGATAGCTCATACATATCAGATCACTTAAGGGATGAAAATTGTGTCATTTAGCATTACCTAACAGGCCATAGTAGCTCCCAGAGTGGGTAAGAACAAGTGCGTAGAGGGCTGTTGACCCTGAGAGTCCCTCCTGGTGGTACACTATGGACTATTTACTACCTGGCAGTCTTCCAGGACCCCCATCAAAGATTTTCCCTATGAGTGTTGGGTCTTTCCTCCATCAATGATTGACAACTCAGCTTTTGTAATGGTTGACCAAAGATTCACCTCTGTAGCACAAGGCTTGTATTTCTATGACAGCTTAAAAATTAACAGGGATTTTTATAATAAGAAAAAAAGTTTTGAATCAACTGAGAATTCAGGAGGCCAGATGATTACCACACAGCCCCTGTCCATAAGACCCTCGCTGAACATTCGGAAGTTAGACTATCGACAGGCAGGTGATTAGTCAGTCGGGGATGAGTACAGCACTGACAATGGGCAAACTGTACCCATGGTTCTGTATTTTAGAACCAGCTCGCAGGGGGTGACAATATGTTTGGGTAGAATCATATTTCAGGTTCACTCCCTTTATACCTGTTTAAGGGCAGGGGTTTGGGATGGAAATGCAGGAAGATTAACCAGGTTAAGCTTCATGTATACAGGACCTTATAAAACACTATAAAGAGAAGAAATGAAAATATCTGATACCAAAAGAAATAGTGCATGTTAGAAGACTCTGATAAAATGTGACAAGTCTGTATCACTGATCTAACTGTGACTTTAGCCTAAACATGAACATCGTGCCAGAGGTTGTTGTCAGGTTATTCTTGGTGAGGCTGCAGTTATGGCTAAATAATTCAGCTCCACACCTGCTCTGTATAGTCTGACATAAATACAAGAGAATTAAGTAGTCTGTTAGTTTTATGTATGGAAAGCACGATTTGAACTTTTATTTTAAAAGAAATTGCAAATAAATAACAAACAAGCTACAAAATACATCCACCCATCCATACTGGACATTTTCTGAGCCTGCTTGCGCTATTCAGGGTGGTGGCAGGTCCAGAGCCCGTCCTGGAAGACAAAGTACAATAGTGAGGAAAAAGAAGGGAATCCGGAAATGACCTAATACCTAATGAACAATTAAAATCTTAAACCATCATCTAACAAGCGGCAGGAGGAAGAATACATGTCAATGATTTAAGGTCTTGGCATCTGTTAATAATCTCTTCATCTTCCATTCCCTTGTTTGGTACAGGGCTGTGGGGTCCATTAATAATAACATGAATGACAATAAACAATAATAAATTAATATATGTTTTTTAATTGCCATCACACCCTGAGCATTTATGCAAGGCGAATCCCCTAGGATCCCCATAGAGGGTTTTCCACATGAAATAGCGCATTTACACAAAGAACCACTAGAGGCCTCCGCATCATGCTCGACATTTACACATCACAGCAGATGTAAGGCTCCAGATCACACAGCAGCCTGCTTATGTTTGTACATCCCTTCCTGTTATATAAACCTTCCACCGTTTAAGAACAAGACAGGTTATTTCGTTATCTGAAGAAGGGGTAATTTGTGGGTTCTGATGATTGGCATGTGAAGGGGACACAGAAGCATCACTGAATTTACATTTATTTATTTTGTGGCGACATCACACGAGTATAGCTTCATGGAGTCAACTTAGTGTTACTAGGCTAAGTCTCCAATGAATGGCCAGTGACACATACAAAACAGCAATGAGGGCTATACAAAACACCTTTAAAAGCTCATCAAGAAAAGCTATTCAAATAACTCCAAGAGAATCTAGTTAGAATTTAGTCTGAGTGCAGAATACAAGAACAGAACATCCAGTCGTGGTCTTACAATGGAAGTGTCAATGAAGACAGTGGGCCGGAGATTGTCAGTGGCAGGCCGGGGGCCGTGCTCTACGCTTTCAGACTAGCAAGTGGTGCATTTTTTGGAAGCTGATTTGCAGTTCTGCTTCAGTAAGATGTGGTTCCACACAACGAGAAAGGCCACCAGCAGGAGCAGATCATGCTGAACTCGACTGCCCTGTTAGTGGGGCTTTTTACTCTGGTGGTATGTGGTTAGGCCAGTCTTGCCAGTAGCACCTGCTAAATGGATCGCTTGTAAGGATATTCATAATCTTCTCTCAAGAATGAATATTTTTTTATTTCAATCTAACTATGACCATTTAGTTGCAATGATGTGTGAGAGTCTCACAGTGACAACAGCTCATCACCCAACCAGTGAGTGATTCTCATCACGGCTGACTGGAAAAACCTGTTGCCAGTCCAAGGTAAACAATAGACCCCCTTTGTGTGGCTAAGGGTCTTTGTGGGGAGTTTCGACTGAGAATTTCCTGCCTTTGTGTCACCAAAACCGGGTGATGGCCTATGTGGAAGCTGGTTATAGTTACCAGTCAGGGTGATTAGCTAAAGCATTCGAATGTAATTTGATGGATGGCATATTACTGTATATGTTGATTTATGCTGAATGCATCAATGTCTGCCTAAGGTACCGTAAAAACAAATATTTGCTACTTCCGATTTTCGATACTGAATGTTATCAAGTTTTCAAGCAAACCTGAATGTCAAACGGAAGGGGACATAAGTGAATAAATTTAGAAAAATTTGAAGCATTATTTTCTATTTAGAAAACACCCAAATTGGCTATATGGAAAAATCATCACCTACTTGCACTCTGTGCTCACCTGTTTACAGTACACCACTTTTGACAGAAAAGACTGCAACTTGGCATAGTAGTCATTCATTGGGGGAAATTTAGTTAAACTCTTCCATGCTTAAGTGTTTCAGTGCTAATATCTGGGGGCTTAAACATCAACTGGTCATCTCAGGTTCTGCCACCACATCTTTTTGGGTTTTGAACTTTATTTGGCCGGATATCTTTAATTAGGACAGTCCAAAATATAGCCTTGCTGCTGGACTCACTTGCATTTCAGCCCAGACTGAGGTGTCCCGATATACTACTATTGAATTATCTGGAAGAGATTAAGATTCCTTTAATGATATCCAGCATCCCCACAGCATGACGCAACCACTATTGATGTGAGGTGCTTACTGTAGAACATTGTGTTTTTACCATGCATGTCAGACCCTAAGATGGCCATGAAGATCCACTGTTCACTTATCTCTCAATTGAGCTGAAACTCCCCAAAGCTTGAGAATCATTAAGATTTTTCTAAGTAGAAAAAGGTTCTGCCTTACTACTCTATGCAGGCACACGATCAATACAAAACAGATGTTTTACCGTAAAAACCCATAGACAGTATGGATTTTCAACATTCCCTTGTAAATTACCAGGATATTGTAAAAATGATCCACTTTCTTTTTCAATTATGCCTAAAACATAAAAACAGGCAAGCACAGCATGGAAATGCTGAATATCATACAGAAGCTGTTCTATAGCAATGGTTAGCATTGTAGAAAAACTCAAGCATAGATGGTGAGCTTCTTACACCTTGTACACTTCTTAAACAGTAAACCATCATGATCCACCTTAGCACTGTTAACAGTAATCTGCTTGTGACTGTCGTCTCCACATTCTATCAGTCTATTTGTGGCACCATAGCATCAATACTTATCAAATACCCATGCCAACATCCTTTTTGCCTGAATAACCTCAATATGTTTTTAATATTAAATTGCCCGTAGCATTCAGTCAAAAAGGTGATTTAAATTTATTTTAATGCATCATTCATTGGTCTTGAGTTCTGCAGATGTGTCATTTCTTCTTCGCACTCTTCAGAAATTCACAGGCTGACTCATAGCTGTACTTGTATAACTTGTGGAATAACATGGACATCCAGACAGGAGACCTTCAAACAGCAGCAAATATTTCCATGGATGACATCATCATACACAGGTAAAGAGCAGCCGAATGTGTGTGTGGTTGTGGGGGTGTAAGGAAGGGAAATGAGTAAATGAGACTGAAGGTAGCAGAAAGTCAAGGGCAACATAGTATAATGATTAAGCATAACAGCTTCAAAACAGACGTCCGTGCTGTCATGGAGAATTTGGGCCTAGTCAGAACAGGGGCATAGAGATAAGCCTGTTCCTGGGAAAAGGGGGTGGGGTATAGCTGTAGGTTATGCAAATTACTTCTGTGGAATTCCCCCTTGCTGCTGTAACAACGCTCACCTGGGCCCTGCCCCTTGGGCAAAATTGTATATATAATGGCTCCAGAGGTGCAGCTCAGGACAGCTAAAAGAGACACCAGAGCTGGACAAAGTGCAGAGCCTGGACTAAGTACCAAAGTTAACCCATCAGTGGAAGCATAAGGACTACTAGAACTCTTATTTTTTTTGGATATTGCCTGTCTTTGGATTGCCACGTGCAGGTTGGTTTGTTTTCTGCCTAAGTTTCATTTTCATGTTTTTGGATTAAACATCCGTGTTCCTGCAAGTAACTAAACAAAGAAAACATTCAAAAACTACATTGGCTATTAAGAAACTGAGTTTGGATGTTTGGATTAAATGAGCTGAATGAATGCGTTTGGGATAATCTCTCATTACGTGGGAGTAACTGAATAATATTTCATGATTTAACAGTGATAGAGGTTGTTGGCTTGTTGCACTTATACACTGAATTTGTACTGTGATGCTTTTGCAAAAGTTTCTCTTGCTAAATTCATTAATTAAGATCTCTTCGGTGCTGGAGGTATACATGTTGAAACTGGTCATGATTTGTTGCAATAGGAAGAAAATATGCAGTTTAGAAGGAATTGACAAGTTAGGTAGCACAACCACTTTTCGGTAATAAAGGGGTGTCATCGTACAAACAGACTGTCGAAATAAGTCCCCCATTCAACCTCCCAATATGCTGAGGTTGTTTCTGGAGATGCTCAACATGAGGCTGGTCCTGAGGAGGCCACTGATAGACAGAGTAATGGTGGCTTGACCGTGTCTTTCAAACAGCAGATCCCATGGCCTCCTGCGACCTCAGTAGTGTCCTTACGGATGCCAACTGGGCGATGTACCAGACTACAGATATCGACCCCCTGCAGCCCCCATCACTGAATGAGCCACTGCAACCTCTTACAACCTCACTTTTCACTTTGATGCCAAGTGCACACGGTAAGACCCCTAAGCACACAGCCACTCTGGCTGGTTCGACACAGACATGACAACTGCAGAGACCACTTTACTCCTTCACAGACCATGCCGGAACCTTCTACCATCATGTTTTTGTGCAAAATACAAAAACGCCAGCTATGCTGGCTGACCGTGACCCTGAAAAACAGAGTTCACAGTAATAAAGTTTGGCAAGGATTAGGGAAGGTATACAATAATCCAGATTCTTTTTTTCACTAAGAAATCTTGATAATTCTTCTATCATGTGATTCTGGCTGTAACCGGTTTAGCTTTATTCACCCTTACAGTAAGCAGGACCTGGCTTTGCTAGATAGTCAGGTTTAAAAAGCATAAGCAGGTTAACAGATTCTGGGTGTGATTGGCAATGAGCACATGATGGGAGCTGCTTCTGCTCTAAACCTCAGAGGGCACCTGAAACCCAGATGATCACATGGGCAGCTTGTGCTCTGCACTCATCCAGTGCATATTATGTGTATGTGTGTTTCTCTCTGCTGAAGACTCAGCTCCTCAGCTCCTAATGGTGAGGAACCCGGTTGTTGATGGGTTACTGTGTGTCTCCAGAGCAGCCAGGCTGGCGTCTTCTGCCACCACAGTACTGGACGAAACAGAACACCATGGAGTGGATTAGCCACCATGTGGACGAGACCCATTTCGATGCCTGCACTCTCAACATGTCCAGTTGCTCCATGGATGGCGTCACACTCTGCCAGATGTCCCACCAGGCCCTCGTGTCTGCTTTCGGCTCCCTGGGGGAACGACTTTTTCACAGTTTGCTGGAGCTAAAGGCTAAATATGGTGAGGAGGAACATAGAAACCTTATGATTGCTGGTTCATGTCCGTTAAAAGGAGCCAGCTTAATGGAGGTACTTGCCCTGAAAAGCTAAGAATGATATATTAATGATTATTAAAGAGCCAAAAAGTCATATTCCATGAAAGTGCCATTTAAGTCATAATTAATTATGTAATTAAACTGATACTTATTTGGAAGGACATTGTTTGCTGAAGAGCAGGCATTCTGAAACTTGACCCTGTCCTGTTAGGACTGAGATATATTCAGTTATGGGTGGGGGGGCATTCAGCTGGGAGGGAACCAGCGTCATTCACACACCAGTAAATATCATGTGGGCAGAAAAATGCAAAGGCTGAATACAGACCTGGAAACAATGCTCTCCCTCCCCTATCCCGATGTGGGGATTCAGATTTCATGTAGTTTTACGTGCTATACAGTGTGTATCTCTGTGCCTACCACTGGCCATGATGTCAAACAGAAAAAATACATAAAAACATGTTTAGTGCCATGTTAAGTACTGAAACATGTTACTCCAAATCAGAGTGACATGCCTGTTGTAGTAACTTACCTCCATACACTATGATTAATTTTTTAATTAATTTTAATTTTTTTATGGTGAGCTGAGGGATGCTTTAGTTTCTGATAAGCGTCCCCCAATTCCAGGTGCCAGTGATATGACCATGACCTGTGACTTCCTCAACAATCTCTTGGATGAGTACCCGGAAATCCTTAACGTGAGTGGAGGCGAAAGTATCTACGATCTAAGCATTGTGAATGAACACCAAGGTGAGCACAGGTTCCATACTGCTGATATGTTGCTCCTGCACTTCCCTCTTGAACATCTCACACATGCCCTCATCCTGATAGTTGCAGATCAGCCGGATACATGTTAATGTCGCTCATAATCTCAAGCCCCACAAGCTACATGGCTGGTTGCTTCTTGACGTTGCTTTGCTGTGTGCCCTTTACAGAGAGTGCTTATGACATTGATGGTCCTGTGCAAGACAGGCCCAAGACAATGGGAGACATGACACCTGTGAGTGACAATGGATATGAATCAGGGTCCACCTTGCCAGATAGCCTGGACTCTTCCAATGCAAGTAAGTTCTTCTGGTCTCACTCTATAGGAGTTCTGAATTTGCTCTGGTTACATGCCTAACTACAGTAGGTATATTCTGAGTACCAACCTGGGGTCTAACAGCTCATTTCCATTCTTGATTTCATTAGGAATATGCCTCAAGATCACTCCCGTTTACTCAGACTCTGGGAGTGACTCTGACCCGGACACTCCTGACACTCCCTGTCCTCGTACTGCATGTGAGCCAATTTTGTTTTATAAGATAATAAAGTTGTGTAAGATCATAAGGACCAGCCACTGTAGAATAAATTGGTCATGTCACACCAAGGTACACTTTATGCTTCTTGTGCTCAAGTGCATATACAGTATGTCTTTGTTGCCAGCTGGAACCTTCAGGGCAGAAAGAGGTGAGCTGAAGCCCAGCAAGCGGGGCCGGGGAAGGCCGAGGAAGCAGAGCCACTCTTCAGAAGATTATGGGCAGATCAAGAGGAGAAAACATGGTGAATTTCCATCAAACTTCAATACAACCAGGATTCATGAGGCATCAAAAAATGATATTTGACTGCCACTCATACTTCCACAGTATTTTTAGGGTTTCTTACCACTGCTTATGTCTCCCTCATTATGTATATAAATCGCTCTATCAGGAATAGTTTTGACCAATACTTTGCATTTTCCCCGGCAGCACCAAGAGGGACACACCTCTGGGAGTTTATCCGAGACATCCTGATCCACCCAGAGCAGAATCCGGGCCTAATGAAGTGGGAGGACCATCAGCAGGGTGTCTTTAAATTCCTCAAGTCAGAGGCTGTAGCCCAGCTCTGGGGCCAGAAGAAGAGAAACAGTAGCATGACGTATGAGAAGCTCAGCCGTGCCATGAGGTAAGGCTGTGAGGCCAGGCTCCCAGAATGCAGGGCGTCCTTCAGAGGAACCTCCAACTACTGTACAGCCTTTATTTATAACCTATTTAAGGAAGTATTCCTGGACATCACTAAATTTATTGTGTGTATCATACTGGAGGGAAATATAAATATTGCACAACTTATCAAACAAAGAAACAAAGGATTGGCTGATATGTGTGGTCAAACTCCATAATGGTGTTAGGGGAGCTTAGGTGGAACTGTAGTCATTAACAATGTGGATTCTGAAATATCACATTCCAGGACAGAACCTCTTATATTGCCCTTGACCATGTTAGTAGAAGCTTATAGCTGAGTACAGTTTTTGAATTCTTGCATGTATAGGGTATCTCAAGCAACTGCATACAAAATTTTAACTATGCTAAAGGCGGTTGGGTATTTTCTGATAAAATCCATACGTGTGTCCTAACATTATGTGGGTGCAATAGGGTAGTACAGCACAATGGGTACTGTTATTTTAACCCTCCATCCATCCATCCATCCATTCATCCATCATCCATCCAGTACCATGTCATAATGAGTGTGGAGACATACTGTTATTTCAATAGATCTGAAATTCATTCTTTTCTAGACATATGGTGGTAAAAAAAGAAACTGATGGGCTCTCTGTTTGTTACACAGGTACTACTACAAAAGGGAGATTCTGGAGCGGGTGGATGGACGACGTTTAGTGTACAAGTTTGGGAAGAATTCCAGTGGGTGGCAACATGGGGAAGCTGGACTATAAGAGCAGAGTCGCAGTGGTCAAGTGCAGTCATTTGGTCTAATGGCAGCCAAAAGCAAAGAGGATTTTGTCTTTTGCTTTAGTATCCTCATACCGGGGGAAGATGCTGCAGAAATATGTAAGCTAATATTTTGGCTGATGTAGGTTGTATGAACCAACTTTTTAAATTCCTATTCTATGCTTGTTTGTGACGTTTGTCTGTTTCATTTAATTTAATGTTGCCCTCCATCTCAAGGCCACAAAGCTATTTTTACAAAGATCTTTTTTCTGAACCTACAGATGGTAATAATTTAGCTCTGTGACCACAAAACTGTAACACTGTGGCACATGAGTTAAACCTTAGAAAAATGTAGCAATCCAACAATGTAGGGGTTTAGTCATGAAACTGCAGCACTGTAATGCAGTTTAAGGTTTGACAGTGTAACATTGTAGCAGTGTGTAAATGAAACAGTATGAGAGAGTAGTGCCATACATTAAGACATGTTTTAACTACTTGGGAATCAATATTTTGAAATGATTATGAATTTTTCAATTACCCTGATTTAAATGGATTTTGTTTTATAATTGCTGTGTAAAAAGTAAATCTAATGTGCATTTTTATATAATAATACTTTTGTACAGTCAATGTTTTTAATAAAGAATATCTGTGCTCACTATATTGATTTTTTCTCAATAACTAAGTTACAATGCATCATTTGATCCATTGCCTCTATGTCTATATCCTGAATTTTTACGTCCATCTTCTTGATGGATCAAATCACAAGCCGGCAAATGAGCCATGAAACCTGCAGAGTTTCAGTGCTGCTGCTAAGGGTCTGTGACGCCTCATTAGCATCACGCCTCCAAAGGTAGGCTATTTAGGGACACATCTTTTCTCAGAGTTTTCTGTTGCTTTGGGGTCGGGTGGCATTTTACTGGACGGATTATTCATTCCTTCATCTTGAATAGAGGTTCTTCTTCTCATGTATCCCAAATAGGTAGTGCTAAAATACTGACATTTTTTTCACCTTGATTGGTAGAAATATTGCTGCAGTTGTTGTAGGTCTGTGTTGCTTATTCCTAAAAGAACTTTGAAGTATGAAGCAACACTGCACCAAATTATTTCATAGTAGTTGGGAAAAAATGGCCTTTCAAATATAAGAAAAACTGTTTCTGTTTTGAGACAGGGTGACCTAAAACTAGCAAAACTACCTGCCAGTGCAGCAAGAAAACTGTACTTGGTAAGATCTCCTAAAATTAAACAATATGCCTAAATGCAGGCAAATTAATCTTATTCATAAGATGTGTTGTTAATCAGTTTATTAATGAAATTAGAATTTTGTATAAATATAAGAAAACTATACTTGCTTAGATTTTCATTTTTTTGCAGTGTATAAACATGATTCCACATCGAAACATAAACACGGAGGTGGAAGTTCATCGGCACATTATTCAGCTCAGCTCACCCTTACTGGGCAGCTCTACATAATGGCGTGACTGTGATCACTTTGGCACCACCCGTATCTAACTGGCAAATCGCGCCTGACGCAGCACTGGACTTACCAGATAGGTGGCAAATACTGTATAGGTGCCTGCACCTGCACATACAGTATAAGGATGTGTAGGATGTGTTCAGAATTTAAAAAATACACACAAGAGGGCTATTTCTGGCATGTTATATTATTATACATTGTGTCATTTCCACAGCAAAGATGCTTGCTAATGGACTTTGGGCCCTCATTTTGAGGAGCTAATTTTTAGGTGAGCAAGCAGCGGCCGATGTCAAATTTTCACCTGCCCCATAGCGTCACACATACTGTACAGCCATGCTTAGAATTGCATTTTACAGGTCGGGAAATACTCCAGTGAATTCTGTACAGGACACATTCACTGACCATGCATTTGTTGTTTTTCCAGAAATTGTGAAACTAATAGGGCCCTGGTATACATCACATGTAAATTGAATTTGTGTCTCTCACACATATGCACAGTATAGTACCTGTTAAACAGGTACAATCTACAGACAACTGGAATGCGAGGCGATCACGTAGTTTACAGGAAACTCTCGTCTGGCTGCCAGTAAATCCTGGAAATTGTGGGTGTGGCAGAATGCAACTGGTATGACCTCATGTTGCAAACATATAAAGGGGCAAGGGTAGAGAAAGGGGGAGGAGTTTCACAGAGGCAGAGCTCAGGTTACCAAACCGAAACTCATTAAAGTAGGTTTCCATGTGTCTCCCCTTTGCCCTTGTTATCTTCCACACAAACACACACAAACTCAGTTGCACCTCAAGCACACACACATGCATTCAATCCTAGTTGAGATCCTAGTGTTATGGCTTTAGGGTACAACTTAATGTTTAGGTACATTGAAATTTCCCATTGACGTAACTGCATGTGGATAAATACCAGACAATTCACATATCCAGGTTTACCACTGTGCTTAATCATATAAAACAGTAGGCTTAAATTTTCTGGCCACAAATACGTTGAAAATAAATAACAGATGACTTGTGTTACAAAAGCACAGGCTTTTTAAAATTTAGTACTGGTAATTCCAGAGAGGCTGGTGAATTTCAATTTTAGATGTAAAATTGTGGGGGTCCATTCTGGGCAGAGGTGCCAAAGATGTACCTTTAGGCTACAAGAAAGTTGACAAATCTGTGTTAATATAGGCAGCTTTTTTGTTACTGGGACACTTTAGTTAGGCTATTATATATCTGTCCCCTTATAAATAACAAACAATTTACACAGCAACCTGCACAATCAAAGCGTCACTCTTTGTTTTGGCATCACTGTTTCCAAACAATATAAAACGAAGCACAATAAACTCTGAACAATAAGTAGGCAGATGTAACAGTCACTGTTGAGTAAAGGTTGTTGGCAGAGCTTGTCTGTAGCTTTAAGCAATGCTAGAGAAGCTGCGCTTAAATATTTTCGGGTGGCCTTTACCTCTCCGTTTCAGAGGACCCGGCGATTCTCTATCTGTCTCTGTGGTAAAACAGGGACAAGAGGGGCTACACCTACGATTGCGATATAGTGCGATTAGGGAAGATCTGTCTGCATAAAATGCAAAATCGGCATGTGGGTAATTTACATAAGCATGATCACAGGGAGGTGAAGATGGGTTTTTTCTGCTTTCCAACAGCGAGCCGAAGTCAAATGAGAAACCAAAGCACAGTGAGAAGTGTTACAGGTGGTATTACGGTTTATCTTGGTTCACATCCTCTGTAGTAATGACGTGGTTGTTCAGCAGCCTCAGTTCAGCAATGGGGAAAAGGCAGAAGGATCCATACAGTCTTTATAAGCAGGGCAGGGACTGAATAGAAACTTAAGATGAAAGATTTACAGCACATTTTAATATATTATAATATTATTCAAGGTACAGCTTGTATGGTTTGAAATTAATTTCAGTGTTACGTCAAAAATGTTTACTGAGACACTTGTATGTCAAAGTCCCACTAACCTATTTAAAATTTCACAAAATTCTCCCAGAAAAGAGTACAAAGACTACACAAGAATATACCAATGATTATATGATTATTAAGAAACAATCTACTGAAGTATTTAGACTTAAGTCAAAGTTCAACAAATACCTCCCCATGGTCTGCCCCCCCCCCCCCCTCGCCTTTTGAGATTGCACCATCCCTCACAATTTGTCACTGGAAGCAATAATGTGTTTAATACAGAAAGAGCATTTAATGGATTTGTATTGGTTACATGTCAAGCAGTAAACAGAAAATTGCTAGTCATGCTGTGACGCCCTTATGATTGTGGAAAAAAATGCAGTTCAGGTAAACAACTGACTCTTTGTACATGACAGTGTGAGAGAATGTACCTTTGTAGTCATGGGTCAACATTGGCCTACTGTACGTCTTACTCTAGAATTCTTTCAAGGTTACACATGAATAAAAAGACATCACTGGAAAGTTTGTGGATATCTTGAAGAAGCATTGTGTCGAAGTTTCATTGTGCCACTAAGTACTGTATTTTTCTTGCATATGTACCTAAATTGTACATTAATTTATTTCATGGAAAGAAATATTTATACACTATATTGCAATGTATAGGAACATACAAATGGATCACCACCCCATCCCAGGCTGTCAGTTGGTTTACAAAATATAATAATCCATGATATTATGCATTTTAAGATGTTTCTTTACTTATGACAATTATAGAAGTTGGTTGGACAATATCTTAAATGTTTTAGAAGACTGTGAAAATACTGTCATAAAAAATCTGGGAACATTCAGATATTCATCGATATGTCTGTTGTCTATAACTTGGACAATATTGTGCTTTATTTAATACATTGTTTAAAAGTTAAAAATAGTTCAATATGAGAGTTCTTAATACCATACTGTCTGGTCAAATGTTACATCTGATTGAGACGGTGTTTATGTGTTCCTATATTTTATGATCAGGATGCTTAAGGCCACAAGTTAATGAAAACAAATAATAAAATGTTGAAAAAGCCAAAATTAGGAAAAGAAGAGAGTAAAATGGGCAGTACATTTTGGGAAATGTTTGTCTTCAACATAAAATAAATTTCATAAAACTTAAGTTAATACATTTATTTGGTCCTTATATCACTGTCAGTTTTGAATAAGTAAAAAAAAATACCTTTTAGTGCAGAAGAGCTTATCTCTGGTTGGTAAACAAACACAGAATATTTAGCCACTCAGATAAGGTGACATAAAGGCTGCTATCAACCCAGCCTTTATGCTTGCTTAAGCACAGATGCCAGCTTCTCTTAAACCTTAATTACTGTGGTGTTTACAGAGCTATGGAAGCAGAAGTTGGTCATCTGCACAAGTTACACCAATCAGGCACTGATAAAGTTTTATTTCTCTCGTATTTGTGTACAAAATACTCTGATGTCAAAAAACTTGTAGTGCAGTTCTAGAGATGATGTTTTCTGGTTGTAGGCCAAAAGTACAGGGAATGTGTTTGAATTGTACCAGAATGTGAGCAGTCTGAACCACAGGTAGTACGTCGCTCTATGCTTATCAATCCATCCACTTTCCATAACCACTTAACCTATCACAGGAAGCATAATGCAGACCACTTACTGGAATGGGATGCCAGTTGGTCACTGAGTATTAGGGTGGGGTGAAGAAAACCGATTGTTAGGTTCTTGTATTAAATTAGAACAATTTTACATCGCGTTATGATATGGATGATACGTAGCGTGGATCTGCGCATTGATGTGACAGGTGAAAACTTCGATCGCATTGCAGAACCTGAAAACATTAACCTATTTCAAAGATATTTTGCACGTTTAATAATGAGGTTCAGTGACAACTTTTCCGCTCTATTGGAAATGCTATTGGAAATTTTGATTTTTTTCACCCCACCCTACTGGGTATGCAGTCACATACAGTACTGTGCAAAACTCTTAGGCAGCTAAAGAAAATTATGCTTACATTTACATTTATGGAATTCGGCAGACACCTTTAGCCAGTGTGACCTACATAAGTGCTTAGAAGTCTCATCAGTGAATACATTCTGATACTGGTTCAGTAGAATTCAGAATGGAGGAGTCAGGCAAAAAGAAGGGAAGAGATGTGTGTCTCTTGGTAAATGACAACTGGTGTAACAGCAGGAATATTGCAGTTCTATCGAGTTTCTGTACACCCAGTACATTCATTCATTT